TAGCTCATCTAATTCTCATATGTTACGATTGGAACTAAGAGAGAAAAAGATTACTAGAAGAGTGGAGAGATTTCCTCTCCTCTCTAGAGAATAGAGAATTGTCTCTCTTAGTATGTCTTCTCTCTTCCCCAAAGCCCTCTACATATAGTGGCTAGGAGGGCAAGAGAAAATAAAGCGGTTGATGTGGGACAAAGAACACATATCAATACCACACCCTATGTTGGGTGGATTACTATTGTGTTTGGTCCTTGTGCATTGGCACAAGGTACGTAGGCAATCTAGTTAGGGTAGATACAACTAAATCCTCCTCTAGTGACGTCCTTATTTGTGCTTCGAGCAACGGTTCGTAAAAACGAGACGGTGATCCAAAATTCTTCATTATGCTTGGTATGTCCTATATCGAATTCCTTTATATTATTTGCATATATTCCAACAAAAACAGTATAAATGATGCATGCTATTTGGCGCAATGTAGGTGTTTCCCAAATAGGTCAAACTAAACCAATCCAAACTAATTGTAGTTTGTCTCACCTTAATCCAAGTTTACTCTTTTTTTTTCTTGATACGAAAATATTCTAATCCTTTAGAGATTTGAGATAAGTCACACAATGGACCAACACAATAATTATATGTAAAACTTATCAGTAAAATGTTTCCTTATAATCACTAACCTATAGCTAGCCTAGCTACCACTTTACATTATCTATACACTAAAACTCAGTTCGGTCGGCACTGTTTTTCATTGTTCGTGAACAGTGAAATGGCGGAAATACCCTTTCTTTCTTCTCACTCCCATGTTCTGTTGTCTTGGTACAACAAAATTCCAGTTTTACCCATTTTGGCCACGGGTCACTCATCATTTAACCCTCTGTTTTTGTTCCTTTTCACGATCCTTCTTTCAGTTTTCGTTTCTTTCTTTCTTTCTTGGCCACGCGTCGATCATTGTCGAAGGTTCCCTGGGACTTTCTTCCCGACTTTTCCTTCCGTTTCCATTTTTCTCTCTATGGTCTTCTCTTTTCTCCTTTCCTCATCTGTCACTCTTCCTCTGATTCTTATCCTCCACTGAAACGTCAGAGACCAAAGCTTAAATATGGTTCTTGACACCGTTTGGACCTCGCAAGCTCGCACGTTCTCCTCTCTCTCTCTCTCTCTCTCTCTCTCTCTCTCTCTCTCTCTCTCTCTCTCTCTCTCTCTCTCTCTCTCTCTCTCTCCCTTCCTCCACTTCTATTTGGCTTCTGTGGTGGTGGGATATGACGATCAATGGTGAGTTTTTTCATCTGGGTTTTGCCTCATTGTGGATGAATTTTGTCTTTTGCTATGAAATTTGATTCGATTTTTTGAAAAGTTTAATGCTTGATGTAAATCTGCATCTGGGTTTTGTGTGGTAGATTGACTTAACCTCTTATATTGTCAAGGTTTTCTTGGCATTAAAGGTATGGATTTTTCTGTGTAGTAAATTGAACCTGGTTTGTAAAAATTTCAAAAGTTTGATGGATTAGGAATAAATTTTAAATCTTTGTCATGGTTTGATATACAAATGGATGATCATGATTAATTTTTGGGTTTAATTTAGCTGTTGATTATTGTGGATGAGTTGTAAAACTTCTTTTCTATTATGTGATATGTGCCTGTTATGTTTTTCTTATCTTGATTATATTTGATTGAGGTCATGATGATTTATGGGTATTTTTAAATATGATCCAGGTCTGAGCACTCTGGTTAGCAAGCCCACTTAGTTGAATCAGCTAAGTTTCATGTCTGACATCGACGTATAGCTTCCCACTGCCTTTGGTATGTTTTCTATTAATTCATAACTCAATTGAGTGTGTTTGTGCACTTGAATGCATGCATGTGTACCTAGATGCCCGAGAGATCATTTTTTAAATTGAATTCAATTGGATAACGTTTTTTAATCGAAAACATGGGTACCTAGATGCTCTAAAGATCATTTCAGTCATCAATATAGTACTGTTGTAATTTAATAGTTGTGCAGTTTGAGAATTGGTGTGTAGTTGTTTGTGGAATTCAAACAATTTATAGGTTACCACATTCACATCTCATAAGGAGATATTGACATAGATAAATGCAGTAGATTAATGTGACCATCTAAAAATCTGCACTGCATTCTATCACAACTCATTTTAATAACATTTATAATCTCATTTGTCATGCTAAAATTTTGGGCCTTTTTCTTTTAAAATTTTATGCGTACCGAGTGTAAACATTGTTGATAATGTCGTTGTTTACAATTCACAGTCAATGGACAGAACCTAGGGAAATAGTGAAAGAGTATGCAGGTATTTCCTCTGTTTTGGGTGAGTCTCAATTAACCAATGCATATAGTTTGCTTCATTCTATCACTACTCATTCTAATAACATTTATAATCTCATCTGTCATGCTAAAATTTTGGGCCTCTTTCTTTTAATTTTTTTTGCGTACCGAGGGTAAACATTGTTTATAATGTTGTTGTTTACAATTCACAGTCAATAGACAGAACCTAGGGAAAGAGTGAAAGAGTATGCATGTATTTCCTCTATTTTGCATGAGTCTCAATTGCCCAGTGCACCTATATTTGATAATAAAATTTAATACATAATTTGAATGGATCAAAGATTTTTTATTGTTGAAATGTTTGACTAAAGCTTTTAGACTCAATCAAATAACCGTTTATAAGAGATAACACACATGTAGGACCTATTGTAAAAGAAAAATAAACAAGGGTGAAATCATTGCTACAACTATAATTTGGTTTTGTCATTTATAGATGATATTCCTTGATAATTATCTAATAAAACTTAAATTTGAAATGTCTGCCACTTGCATTGTACTGAAATGTCTTTAATCTTTCACTTTTATACCATTACTCCAATATTTTCTAATGTAGATCCATGTGGCGTTTAGGAAACTAGAGTTTATGAGGTTTGAATATTTTCCATTTTTAGCTTAGTTTGGGTAGGGAATTTTGATGAATTTATGTTTTTTTTCCCTCTATTTTTCGATGTTTTCAGGTGGCTGGAGCTGAATATGGAGAAGGTTTTGAGACTTCTAGACCTATTGGACCTCTCAAGGTTTATGTGGTAAGGAATTTATGGAGTTTTATGTATGGTAGTGAAATTGTTTCTTTGTTATGTTGAATTTAATTTAATGGTTATACTTTATGTTGTTATGAATTACTGTTGTTGATTTTTACTCTTGAGTTGGATTTTTTGAACGACAAACTGCAAGGAGATTTTCATAAACTGATACGATATGCCATGAAACTGGATGAAGCTTATGGTCGTATATTCTCTTTTGACAATTTCGTGGTAAGTTTCTATAACACTCATTAGTTATGTGTTCCAGGTTCTGATGGCTAGAGGAATATCGTAGCTATCATGCTTTAACTGTGCAATTATTAAAAGATATCTAAATGCTTATCAGTGAGTTTTTCCGGCAAGTGTTTTCGAGTTTTTCGGTGAATTTTCTATCTTCATTTTATTTTTTAAGTTGCATGTAATAGTTTATGCTCAATGTAATTAGATCATGTAGGAAGACTAGCAAGTAGCAATGATGCTTCTTTTTAAGTTAGTTACTCTTCTTATTGCAGACAAAACCATTGAGATAATAACCTTGCATTTACATTCTTTCGAAGCAATCCATATGTCCATATTGGTAAGCATCATTTTCCTATTTTTCTTTTATTAAATATTTGATCAAATTGTAGTGTTTAAACCAACAATTTGTTACTATAAAGGTATTAGCTTCATTTATTCAAAGCCTAATTAGTTAATTTATAAATTTATCTTTGTAAAGTTTTCATGCTTGGATTTTAAATATCTTAGCAATTACCTCAAAATCTCTAATAAATTTACCCTTTTTTTTCTGTTGGAATTTTTGGAATTTTGGGTCATTGGAGAAAGAGGAAGAGTTTAGAGATCCCAAGAAGGAACATGGAAACTGCATCAGAGACTGTAGCTAAACTGAAACCAAATCCCCACCCAAAAGGTCAATTTTATTTATAGACTTTCAGAGACACTTCCATTGCCCTACCTTTGTCTCAGCTTCCCCCACACTGTTAAGTTTTGTTGCTTCTCCTTATCCTTCATTTATTACTGTAATTTTTCATGTTTTACAAATTATTTGAATTTTGGATATTTGATTTTTGTTTCATTATGTATTGGGGTTTGTTTGATTAATGTGTTCTGTTGTGTTGTGTGAAATTGCATTCTTTGTTTTGATGTGTTTTATTGGATATGTCAGAGTTATACAAATGCATGAACAACATATTACAATTTTGTGTTTAAAAGATATCCAGTTTACGATGTTTTTGAGTTTTTCAGCTACTTTGTTTTTTATTTTCAACCCAAATAATTAACTTGCACCATGTTGTTGCCTCTTTTTTGTATGCATTTTTCTGTGCACGCTTCATGCCGAAAGAAGAACGAGCAAGCCACTTTCTTGGAGGATTTGAAGGATCACATTGATGATTTTGTTAATGCATACTTGCTTCAAGATCACCGTGGAAAAGGTTTGTTCCCCTTTCGCATTTAATACTTATACGGCATGTCTGCAAATGTTTTCATTGTTCAATCGGTTTGCTTAGAATTTTGATTAGGTAATTTTGCATTTGTTTTTAGTTCTTTGGAATGTCCAAGAGTTGTCGCAGAGATGAGCAATGATACCAAGGTAATTGGAGTGAATTACCTTTGTAAAGTAACAAAATAAGAATTTTTTTGCAGCAAATAAAAATCTTTCCTATCATGAGATATTTTTATTTAGATTAATTAATGTTATTCTAACATATATTATTAGCTCAAATTCATATATTGCAGCCGATTTCTAATCCCGCAGCAACGCGGGCATTACTATCTAGTATATATCTAAAAATACACTAAGCCACATTGTTGTGTTAATGATGATGAGCTGCCAAGATATAAACCCATCTCCACCTTCAAAACACAACGACTAAAACGGTTGTATATATAAGCTACGTACACATCACATATGCACGCCACCAAATTACACCCGTGCAAACCACAGCTCCAACACAAACAAATAACAATTTTTTTTTTTTTTAAACAGCTTCCATTTCTTCCATTTGTCACATCTCTCTCCGCCTCATATTATTAAAGGGAGCTCGAGACATTAATTATTCTGTCTCGGTCTCTCTTGATCTGCCAATCTTTACATCTCCGAGACCTAACAACACACAAAATATAGAAAAATGGGTTGCGGGGAATCAAAGCTGGCGGTTGCCACCACCAACACCATCCTCCGCCGCAAGAAATCGAGTGTTGCCGATCCTTCCAAGAAGAGCAAAGACATAGAAATCGTCCTTGAAAACAATGACAGCGCCGCAAACTCATCGGTGCAACACCAACAACAACATGACCAACAAGAAGAACAAGTCAAGGAGGACAATGCGATTGCCAATAATGTTGGTGGTGGCGAGACGTCTGCGGTGGCCGATGATGTGAATGTGAATGTAAAGGACATAAAGGTAAATAACAAGGACGGAGAAGATGGTGGTAAGGAAGTATTGGAAAAAGGTGACAAAGAAGAGCACGACGGGGCCGCGGGGAGATTGATTTCGCATGGTTCTCCGAATCGTTTCTTTTCGTCGAGGAAATTGGATGAGGAGGGAATTGACGCGATTATTTCTGAGGGACGGTCTGGGACGTCGGACTATTATACTCCACGCCATGGAAGTAAGGGAAACTTGCACTTCAAGGTAGATGATGATATTGCAGAGGACGATAACGAATTAGATCTGCCGGCTGCAGAAACAAAAGCTCCAGTGGTGGAGACACAAAATAAGGGTTTGTAAACCTCAATGTTGCTTTATTTCAACATTTTAAAAAAAAACTATACATATTTGCATGCATACATGAACACGTCGAGTAGGTCTTATTTCTGAAAGGAATCATTCTCTTGCCGAACTGTGAATCTGACCTATTGATTGTGTCCAATTTAGCTACAAACGTATCAAGCAAATATGCCTAGTCTGACAATATAAACATACGTTTGGAAACGTGTATATTACCATCTAATGTAATGTCTGCTAATTTAATTTGTTTATTGTGTAGGTACAGAAGAGCCTGTAAACAAACCGGAGGAGAATTCGGTGAAGGAAACAGAAGTGGCAGTTACAATCACTGTTGAAGCCGAAGTGGCTGAAGCCGCTGAACCTGAAGTTTCAATCCCTGCTGAAGAAGTGAAGAATTAATCTGAATCTACAAATGCATGAGTGCAGGAACAATATGTGTGTGATTCCCCAGCCAAGGATGAGAAGACAAGCTAAGTGCGAAGGGCAGTTAAATTAGGAAATCTAAAGCTTCTCACTTAGCTTTTGCGTTTGTAATTGATCAATCACCTAGTTTCTATAGGTTTTCTGCTGTCCTACAAAGCTGATCTTGCTAATATGCATATAACATGTTACTTGAACAGAGAATATGTAGTAGTACGGTCTGTTGTATTCTTGGAATTACTTTCTGTTTCAAAATTTGTTCAATTTCGCTTTTATAGACCAAATTTGACCAAATTCAACCACTATTAATTAATGTAATAGGTAGACATGAATTAGACCGGTTAGCCATGACAGTATGTCAACCTCCTTGCACCTATATACTTGAATCTGCCTCCATGTAAATTAGAGTAATTTATAAAATCGTCTTACAGTAAAAATGAAGAAAATTTGACGGGAAGGCATTTCCTGGTGGTTTCCTATGCTTGAACCAGAAATGACATTTGAATTTTGGACCATCTTACTTGGTTAATTGATTAAGCCGCTTGAATTATAAGGGATGCTCGGTAGGTTAATTGATTAAACCCACTGGAAATGATCAGGTAATGTAGCGTCATTTGAGCAGCGTTACGTCAATGTGGTCTCGTTATAAAACCCGGTTGCACCTAAGATCTTCTCCTGGGTTGACAACCGAGCTAAACCGGTGAGCCCAAAGATCCAAAAGTATTTGATCTAATAAGTAATTGGTATGCTTATTATTACCAGGAGAAGGGGCAAAGTATAGCATTTCTGCGTAGGGAACAACCATTATATACACAACACAATGTCAGCATTCAAATCCCAAAGAATGAAGATGAGCACATTCATATATACACAAGTCATCCGCAGCCCCATCGCAACCCACGATATTCATCAGCTATGGCTTCTGAAAAGCAAGAGCTTTTAGGCATACAACGAAACAGCTTTCCCAGGACATATACCTAGGCTACAACTGACCTCTCTTAGATTTTTCCAAGCAAAAACATGACCAGCAATCTACAGAGGTTTTGCCCCAGTGTCTGGCGCTACGTTCAACTTGAGAACAGAAGTTGCAGGATCTCTGGACAGTATAAAATTTCCTCCAAGATCTGTTCTGCTGTACTCTGCTACACCAGTACCCATCACAATTTTGCACCGTCTCCATGTCTTGGCCATTAAGTCAACACCATAATAAACTAAATGGTCCGAAATGCTGTTCCCACTCACTGACCTGCAAAAGCGTCCCAAGAACTTGTATCATATTTTTGGGATCAGAATATTCTTTTTTACTTCGTTATTTTATTATTATTCTAACCATAGAAGACTGCACCAGCGAGCTACTATGTGCTGAAACATGATGAAAGAACAGAATCAAAGAGACAACTCTCAATGCTATCACAACGAAAAATTGGATTACCTGCTGCACGTTGGGTCCTCGCCTGAATCATCACAGATTTTCTCAACTTCATAAACAAGACTTTCAACTTCAAGGTTATAAAGCCACACCTAGAATCAGAATAAGGCTTTCATTGGTCTGAAGAGAAAGAAACTCCCAAAAAAAAGTCCTAAATATACGAAATTATGATCCAAGTGCCGTGTGCAAGTGTATATCAAGTAGTCGTATTCGATAATATTCATCCACCTATTCAAAATATGACCAGAACAATTTGGATATCGTCTGACAATATTCTCATGACTTACAAATATTTCATATAATCTTAAGCTATTCAGAAATAATTGGTTGTATATAAAGAGCATAAAAATTGAAACCTTAGCCACAAACAGACATTTTACAAGAAACTACTTAATCAGTTTATTTTCTGATTGATCTTAAAGGCTTTGAATTGAATGTGTAACTAATCCACCTCTGTGGGCTAGAAAAACATAAAATACTGAAAATTTGCCACAGATAGATTTGTTAGAAGAAACTAATGAATCAGTTTATTTTCTAATAGATCTTATAGGTTTCAAAGTCAAGGAATAAGTAATCCAGCAATGCCAGCTAAGAGAATACCTCTCGTGGAAAGTGGTGGTATGTCTTCTGAGGAAAATAAGTATAGTATGGAGGTAAATGAGGCACCATATCATGTGCATTTGTTACTCGAATACTATTTGGTACAAGTGTACTATAGTATGATGCAAAAGCTGCATTACCGATACGAGGTTGTCCAAATGTCATAACTTGAACATTTTTCTCTTTCTGATTGACCTGGGAATTAAAAAAAAAAACATTAAATGTTGCAGGTTTGAAGAACATGCTTCCAGAATAGACTATAATTTCAGCAAGCAGTGAATGCAATTAAACTATTCAAACACCCTTCTGGAACAAGTTCAACATTTTATGCCATTCAAGAAATGTTGTTGGCATACTACCATATCTTGATCAGTTAAAATGAAAGGGAAAAAAAACCAATCAAAGCTCAATTGGCAATAACCAAGTTTATAAAACACATGAATCAGGCTCTGACAGGTATACTGAAAACCGAAAACAAGATGAACAATGGTGAAAGAAAAACTCAAACATATCTTGCAAAATGGAGACTGGCTTAATTATGATTACCCTTAGATCAAGAGCACAAAATGAAGCCATTGCCCCTCCCATTGAATGTCCTGTAACTATGATGCCGATATCTCCATAATATTCCCTGGCTCTTTCCACAGCATTTAGAATTCCAGGGCGTATGGTTGTGTTGTGGTAAGCACTATAAAACCCGTGGTGCACCTAAAACAGAAAAAGAATGAGAACTGATACTTTACATTCCAGCAAGCAACAAAGTAGAGAAACTTTACTGCAATACCATATTACCATTGCATCAGGCATGCCAGGGTAATCTAGATCAAGTTGTTTCCAAAATAAGTCTTCAATCCAATTCTGTATGCTGTACACATAAAGTAAATCCACTAATCAACAAATTCTGGGAAAAGGGCAAATCAGATTGCCCATAGAGATACATATAGTTATATTTAAAGGAAAAGCAAACGAATGTAGATATAATTTTCCATTACGTTCTGAATCCACATCCTTATTCATGTATTTTTCAATTTTCTCTTCACCTATGTCATAGTTTAGGCTCAATAAATAATTCAGCAGAAACTTTAATTGAGAATGATAAATACTCTAGCACCGCACCTGTGTTCCTGAGTCCCTCTAAATGCAATTATAATAGCATTGGGATCTTGTGCCACTCCAACAAAAGCCTAGAAAAAGTAATGACTATGTCATACAGAGGCAACAAAGAAATAACTTTAACACATAAAACCAGGCTGAACTATGAAATCGCACCTGTAAGCAATGCTGGACATCAACAATAATCTCTATCATTTCAAACCCCTGTTCCATTGAAATGAGGAATAAGGGCAACGATTTTCAAGCCTAAGAATTTCAAATTAATCAGAAACGCCTCAGTACCTTAATCAAATCATTACAGCATGAGCATGTCCAAGTAAACAGCTCTGACAAATCTGACAAATAAACCTACAAGAGCAGAAATTGATTTCAATTGTTAAGGACCTTATAGCAGGTACATACTAATAATTCAAATCTTGACATATAATCCAGAAAATCTCCATTTGGTTTCCTCATTGTTTAGACGGATTCAATACTTCCCATAAACCAACCTTTTTCTATGTCACAATTACAACATACCATGACTGACAAGTGACAACGCATATGGTAAAGATTTGCAAGGGAAATGGTGAGGCTAAATGTTTCTGTAACATAAATTTCTAAATGTTTCTGTAACATAAATTTCTAAATGTTTCTGTAACATATATTTTTACAAACCAAATCCCCATAAATGGTGACACAAGCAAAAATCTGATGAAACTTACTGTAGAAGCATATCGCACTAGTATAGTGGCAAGCGTATGATTGTATATGGGGCCACAATCGTTGTGCTTAATTTTCAGTTCTGCATTTGTAAGAAGAAATTACTCCCGTTAAAATGGGTCCGAGAAGTTCAAAACAACTAAATTCTGCTTCCAACTATTTTGATCTATAATTCTGCACACCAAAAACAAAACAAAAATACACAAAGAATCTGCAGTACACCACCAGTTTATAATGGTACAGTTCTCATCACATATTATCTTCTCCTAAGTGAATATAGAACCTCTTTAGTCCCTAACAGACTGATACCAAATCATCCTTTAGTAATCTATGAGAAGGTAAAACCAACAAGCACCACATTGTTGCAAAGGCATTCATAGACAGTTTGCAAATTCTTTTCTAAATAGCACTTCTATTCATAAGCGCTTTTACTGAAAGTGCTTCTATTAAATGGATTTCATAAATCACCACTCCAGGAAGCACTTTCACTTTCAAAACTGCGAAGCACTTTTAACTTTCTCTACCAAACCTTGTCATAAGGGTTTTTGGTTTGCTTAGCTATTCTAAAAGCACTTCCAAACTAGAATAATGACTCTAATGACCCATTGAATCCCCTGAACTAATTCTTCTCCAACCATCAAATTCCCTTCAAACCCAATTTACAATTTCGATATACGCAACGAAAAAGCCTCTAATCAACCGCCATGAACTTAAACCTGTTTAATAAAACATAAAAGATAAAACTTTTGATGCAAAAATTGAAATATTACCTCTCCCAGCAGAGAAAACAAACATCCACGTTAATATTACCAATACCAGCCATCTTCTTTTCTCCATGGCCTGATAATTTCACAGCAAAGAAAAACAAATTAGGGCACAATTCAGCAATTATTAGTTTCAAGCAATCCGAAAATTAGAGAAACCGACCAACGCCACGACGTCCCACTCCACTCACCCCAACCCGGCGGCGGCTTCGGAGCTCCGAAGACTATCGAATATAGGCGGATTTTGCGACCGTGCAACCGTGGCGTGCTATGATCGCGACGCACCGTTTCGAAGCTCTTGCGGTGGTGGTTGGCAACGCGGTAAGATTGTAGAGGGAGACCGAAGAAAAGCAGTTGACGAGGCAAAAGAGAAAACTAGTTTGTTTTTTTTGTGTAGACTTCCGAAATTATCCTTTACTTATCTGTTCTTTAGCCGTTGATCTTGTCTCTATGTGTCTTTGAGGGCCACGATTGGAGGGTAATTACGGTAAGTTGCCGGTATTTGAAGCGTGTGGAATTGCACGTGCTGATGTGTAATTTAATTTCGTATAGGATTGGGTTTGGATCACATGAATTTTCACCCTTGCTAATTATTATATCTTTTAATTTGTTGACCAATTTG